CCCCCCCCCCCCCCCCCCCTCTCACATCCTCTTCCACAACGTCTTCTATCTCAGACAAGCTTGTCATCTTTTTTATTTACAAAATTCAAACGCTCTTGCGGTCTGCCTTGTGACAGGTGTACGACCTGAGACCTCGTGTTGGAGAGAACCTTGGCCTCTGCTACTTCTTTCAGTCATTCAAAAGTGTATAATAGCACTCCCGCAACACCGCTTTCGCCGCCTTCTCCCGTGAGACGACGCATCTGATCCGCAGCCCGTCGCGTGATTCAAGTCACTGTTCCATAAAGTCCCTTTTCCGGGTGAATATGAGCAGCCCTTGGACCTGCTACCCTCAGTTGTGCCCTCCTGGAAGCACCGCACCCCGGCGACCCTGAGTGAGCCCTGGATATATCCATCATATCAAAAAAAAACAAGACCCACCAAAAAGAGAACGATCAAGAGAAGGAAAGAAAGAAGGAAAGAAGGAAACAGGACATCTACGCTACATAACGACACTCGTTAATCAGGCAAGATGCCATCCCTAACAACCCCTGTGGAAGACCGTGTTATTCACGACGAGCACAACGACTGCATGACGGACGACGACTCTGATTTCGACTTTGACGAGGAATATTTTGCCCGTACCTATCAACCCCTGTCGAACCTCCCCACACCGCCCCCCTCCTCCCGCGATTCGTCAGTCCCACAGAGCCCCCGATCACTCGTGGAAAATGGAGGGCTTCTGGACTCAGAACTATTAGGTAAGTGATCATGGTGGCTGTCATTAACATAGTGTTGTGCGACATTGTACTAACATGTCTCACTTTATAGGCCCTGCGATTCACCTCGTGAACCTCATCCCACCTGCTGCGTCCCTGGCGCTGCCTTCTGTGTCCCTAGTCCACGAGTTGCTCACCCGCACAGGCTTGAAGCAGGACGAGATCGCTCTCGCAGTCTGTATTCTAGACTCCCTCAGCTCCAAATTCGCGCTGAACTGGCGCCTGCGCTGCCCACCCTCTCGTCACGAAGGCTCGGGTTCCACCATCGAGCACCAACAGTCAAAGCGATACACCCTTCCGGCAAACCCGACGGCGGCGGCCGCCGCCAGTCAACTCCACATCGACTGTGTCAAGCCCGAGGTCATCGTGCTCGCCGCGCTCATTATCGCTACCAAGTTCCTGGAGGACTCCCACGCGCCGACACAATACTACCGCTCTGCATGGGGTAACAACCTGTGGACCTGCGAACAGATCAACATCACGGAACGCATAATCATGGAGGACCTGAACTACCGCATCCTGCCTCTGTGGGATGAGCGGTTGATCGGGGATGCGCTGAACGATATGGAGCGTGCCGGAAGGCAGGCTCTGCTCCTTCCTCCTCCTGCGACGCCAGCACAATCCCAATCCCAATTCCAGAAAGAACAACACAAGCGATGTGTGAGCTCGGGCGCGGCTCTATATGGCCTCGGCATGCAGCTGACACCGGCGGGAACGCCCATGTCTGAATGCAACTCACCGACGTTCGACATGGACTTGCAGTGATTTGGTAGGCCAGCGACCTGGGTGGCACACTCCGCCTCTAAGCCGAAAGGCACGAGGCGGAGTTTCATACTGGCTATCTTCATCTGTTTTTTTTCCTTTACCAGCATTATACCCTCATGGTTTTTCACGGACTCTCGGCCAAAACCATTCTTCGGCATCATACGTGTGGGTCATAGGTCGGTGCCCTCTTTTGCGATTTCGAAGGCATGATGAAAAAGGGAGGGGACATGATCAGTTTTGTTTGGGCGTTTTGGGGGTGGGAGCAGATCATCTGTTTGGTTCTGGGCCGTTATACCTGGCGGGACCGAGGAGCTTTGTTTTTTGCGCATTCTGTTTATCACACAAAGCACGGCGTTGATTAAGCAGGGATCAGCTATTGAGGTTTCATGGATCGGCCATGGTCAAAAGAAGGAGAACAAGCAACAGTGCTTGGGCTCAGGCGGGAATACGTTTGGTGTGCACGCACGAACGGCCTAAGGATGACGAGTTTCGATCGAGGTTCACCCAGCCTAAAGCAAAATTATCACCGCGCAATAGTACATATCCATATCAGATAGTCTTTGTCGTAGTAATAGTATAATCATAACTACCTCACAAAGTATCCCATGGCCTATGCATCCAAGTATTGTAGCTACAAGGGCAGTTTGCATTCCAAGGCCGCGCCGTTTGTTCATCCTGCTTGTCCCTGGACTGCTGTGACATCATCGAAATCATTGATACGAACCGATCCGTTACGAAAGCGAGGAGACGGGAAAACACGCGGTCAATGTCATCCATCCCTATGTAATTATGAAGACGAACTGGCGATCACCATTCCAAGGGTTCGTTGATACTTGATACAGAGAACACAAGCAGCACGAACGCCCGCCTCCAGGGTCCACCCATTGTCTCTCCGTAGTCCATTCCGCTGGCTGTCAACTCCGCCCGCTCCTGCGCCGCCTGTGCGTTCGGCCCCCCGAAACGAACGAACGGGGATAGCGTCACCGGCCGGGGTTGTGGGTTCGGTCGACGTCCGTTCGTTCGGTCGTTCGTCCCAAGCGGATCCTGCTGAGCCTGCTAAAGGCAAGCGAACATTAGATAACGACGAATGGGAGCTGAATGAGAAACCGCCCGCTGAATTGGACGAGCTGGACTTCCACTTTTTTGCTGGATATTGGGGAACTTTAAAGCAGCGAGATCGGGAGACATGGACATGGATTTAAAGACGGCTTCCGTCGGCTGTAAGGCGTTAGGGGTGTCTTGAGCCGACGACCGAAGTCGACTGTTCGTGGGGGTCTTAATAACTCTGAAGACACCTACATATCGAAGTGTATTAGGTTCCTGGAGGGCTGGAGGTCATTTCTGGGAATGTTCACAGATGTATATGAAGAAGTCCACATAGGGTATCCGTGGTTCTCGATTGTTGATATATGTAGATGACGGAAACGGGAACGATTGCGGAGGGCACTTTTTTGCTTTAAGCCATGCGTACGCGGACAACACAGACAGGTATTCCTATTCCAGTCCCTCTCCAAATTCCAGAACCCATCTACCATCATTTCTCATTTAGCTAGATTATAATGGAACTGACTGTCAGTCAGTCAGTCAGCAAAGAAGCAAGAGGTCGTAAACTTAACCCATCTACTGTATGTATATATCTGTTACCACCCACGCCCTCGAATATCACATCACAATTTTTTCGAGACCCAGACTCCCCGTGGAATAAAGTATAAAAGCGGGTAAGACAACATAAGAAGAAAAAAAAAGAAGAAAAAAAAGAGAACAAAGACCCGAATAGACGGAGGATAGGTAGGCACTGTAGGCTACCCAGCCGCCATCTCGCATTGCGCGAGACTTGGCATTAAGTAACGACAAGATCTTAGCTCTTTCTTCAATTCTTGGGGCCCAAAATGCCTCCATCACCAAGACGGCGCTAAAGCTTAGATTCACTTTAGGTTCAGCCTCAAGTCCCACTTGGTGTTTTCTTGAGGTGGACAAACAGAGGACGAGATAGGCAGCTTCTAAAGAGGATGCATATAGAAGCCGTCATACGTTTCCGCCGTCTCCTGATTTTCATCCGATTGTCAAGACGTTGAGATGGAAGACATTTGATATTTGCCATGTGCTCATCAGGTACCGATCTGTTCCTTGCAGATGAAACAAGTTGCAATGATGGGACGAAACAAAGGCAAAATGAAGTGAACAGACAGTGGATGAGTCATTTAATTAGATTAGGTATTAGATGTAAGCTATATACAGAAAATACGTATCAAACGTATGTATGTAAAACAAATAACAGAAAAAAGAAACGAAATAAACGTATATACATAACGTATACAAAACGAATGAACGTAACGAACGAACGTAACGTACGCAACGTACGCACACCGATCAACAGTGTACATACATAACGAACATACGCACCATTCACACATTCATACAAATCATTACACTCATTTGAATCATTAGATGATAGCCGCTTCAAGCGGACTTTGAAGAAAAAGAAAAAGAAAAAGCGAAAACGAAAATGTCTACCGAAATCGTTTACGCGTTCTATCTCTTACTCTTTTTGCGTTAGATAGACACGACAAAGGAAATGAAACCCTTTTTGTCTATACACCGGAACACCGAGAAAACCCTAAATGAAAAGAGAAACGACCATCTTCTAACCAGACATGACCAACGCCAGGAGGGCCATACGGCAGTAGAGACCATATCTCATCTACAATCTGTCAGCAAACGAACTTGATCACCGCACCATGGCGGAAACAATGTCAAAGGGGATCTTACCTGTCTGAAGTATGCGGCCCGCTGGTCGAAGTCAACCTCCTCAGCAACCTCCTCGTTCCTGGGGAGCGGGTGCATGATAGCCATCTTGCTCTTGGTGTGCTTGAGGGTCTGGTTGTCAATGCGGTAAGATCCCTTCACCTTCTCATACTCCGCCTCACTCGTGAACCTCTCCTTCTGCACACGAGTGCAGTACAGGACATCAGTCTTGCCAAGGATCTCAGGGGTCAACGTCTCAGACTCGCAGAGCAGCTGACCGGCCTTCACAAGCTGCTGGCGAACATCAGCAGGCAGCTCAAGTCCTTTGGGAGAGACGAGCTGCACCTTGACTCCCGAGTAGTGACGAAGCAAGTAGACCAGGGAGTGCACAGGTCTGCCATAACGAAGGTCACCGACGAACGTGAAGGTCAAGCCCTGGACAGTGCCCAGCTCCTCACGGACGGTGAAGAGATCCAGGAAAGCCTGGGTGGGGTGCTCCCTGCTTCCGTTACCAGCGTTGACAACAGGCACCGGGCTGTACTTCTTGGCAACGTCAACGCAGTTCTCATCGGGATGACGAAGAACAATGGCGTCAGCATAGCAGGCAAGGGTACGGAGCGTATCCTGGAGCGTCTCGCCCTTCTGAACAGAGGAGTGCTGAGTCGCAATGGAAATAACTTCACCGCCAAGACGCTTCATCGCAGCCTCGAAAGAAGCAGAGGTACGAGTGGAAGGCTCGTAGAAGAGAGTGGCAAGCATGCGTCCCTTGAGAATGTCCATGACGTTTCCGCGCTGGACACTGAGGCGCATCTCCTCGGCGACAGTGAAGAGAAGATGCAGGTCAGCACGACTGTACTGCTCAACAGAGAGGACATGAGCCTTCTTAAAAGAGTGAGGCCTGGACAGCGAGTCTTGGAGAGTGAAGTTGAGCTGGCCAGTGAGCTGGAGGGGGGTATGGCTGGTCGTGAAGTCACGCTCGCTGATCTCCATGTCGCGATACCTGGCGATGGCCTCAACGAGGATCTTGGCATTCTTCACATTGGTAACCAAGGGAATCTGGTAGTCAACAGCCATACGACGGGTCTGGTAACCCTTGCTCATGTAGCTGGCAGGGCGTCTGTACCGGTTGTTGGAAGGCAGGTTGATGTAGAGGTCGATCATGTTGTTAGCCAAATGCTGGGTGAGGGAGTACTCGGACTTCTGGTCATTCTCGTTGGTGAGAACCTCCAAGAACTGGACGGGAATGTCATGCTCTTGGAGGAAATCAGCTGTACCAGCGGTAGCGAAGAGCTTGTAGCCCATCTGGGAAAGCTTGGCGACAGAAGGCAGCATCTCCTTCTTGTCCTTGTACGAACCGATGGAGAGCAGGATGTTCTTCTTGGGAACCTTGAAACCGGTGGACATCAAAGCCTTGAGGTAGGCCTCATACTTGTCAACGCCAAAAGAAGCAACTTCACCAGTGGAAGCCATCTCAACACCCAAGACAGGGTCAGCGCCAGACAGACGAGAGAAACTGAACTGGGGGACCTTGACACCAACACCGCCAGCAGGACGATCGATGGCAGGATACTCTTCGAAAGGCAGGCCCATGATAGCCTTGGTGGCCATCTCGATGAGATCAACTCCCATGACCTTGGAGACGAAGGGGAAAGAACGCGAGGCGCGAACGTTGCACTCAATCACCTTGATGTCGTTGTCCTTGGCAATGAACTGGATGTTGAAAGGACCGGTAACGTTGAGAGCAGCACCGATCTTGCGAGTGGCCTCCTCAATGCGCTCGATAGTGGCCTTCTCCAGATCCTGAGGCGGCAGGATGAGAGTGGCATCACCAGAGTGAACACCGGCGTTCTCAACGTGCTCAGAAATGAAATGTCCAACCATCTTTCCGTCCTTAGCCACAGCGTCCATCTCGATCTCCTTGGCATTCTCGATGTACTTGGTAATGACAACAGGATGCTCAGGAGAGACATCGGCAGCCTGCTGAAGGTAGGACTCAAGATCGGCCTCGGAGTAGACCGTGTTCATGGCGGCGCCAGAAAGCACATAGGAAGGTCTGACGAGCACCGGGTACGAGACCTTTTGGCAGAAAGCCTTGGCCTCCTCGAAGCTGGTAAGCTCCTTCCAAGTGGGCTGATCAACGCCAATACGGTCAAGCATGCGGGAGAACTTGTAGCGGTTCTCGGCAGTGTCAATCATCTCAGGGGAAGTACCCAGGACTCTGACACCGGCACGGAGAAGGGGCAAAGCAATGTTGT